AAATAGATTCTTTATCACATATATAGATTTCTCGAGAAGATCTAATTCCGTTAGATTTTGTAATTGAAGATTGTAGACGACGTGCTGCTTCTTGAAAATATTGAATTGCTCCAGAATTACATCCCAATTCTTTTCGCATCATTGCCATATTGTAATATAAATAAACTCGACTTTCATCCGACAAATCATCTTGTTTAAGCATTTTTTGATAGAACCATTCCGCCTCTTCATAATTTCCCAGTTCTCGTAAAATATCACCTACTAATGAAAGGTCATATTCTTTTTTTTTGTAATTTTTAAGTAGCGTATCCAAATAAGAATCCAGATTATTATATGATGTTAATTCAATTTCATAAAATTTTTCTCCAGCTGTAATAGACTCGATACGCCAAATAGTTCCTAATGAAAAAAGAATTTCGCGTTCATCAGGTACTGCACTACAATCACCAATATATGCGTATGGTTGTTTTATCGTATCAATTATCAGAATAAATCGTACACGTATATAACCTTCGTCAATTTTTTCCTCGATACTAGAATAAATATTAGCTATTTCAGATGACGCTGTTGTTGAAAGAAAACCATTCATTGATATTAATCCGTGTTCATTATCAATTAGCTGTTGTAAAATACTTGATGGTAATACTTTACCACGATATACTTTTGTAATCGATGATTTAATACCATTCATTTCTTGTTCTATACTGAGAGCGCTAAGTTGTTTGTCTAAATCACTTATATAGACTCGAAATTCGCATATATGTTGAACATTTTCAGTTCTACAAGCTTGATTAATAATTTTAAAAAAACATGAACTTTTGGTATAATAATTAATAGCGTTTTCTGAATTATATGATTTTGATAAATCTTCAATATTTTTTAATTCTATAGAATTTTCCATATAAAGTATACGATATACTCGCCACATATCTTCTATATCATTATCATCATAAGATATATCGAGAAGAATTTTTACCATAGTTAGAAAACTTAGAAATTCCATAGATTCTTCTGCTAGATGTCGAATAGGTGTAATACGATTTGATTTTGATATAAATTTATTTGATGATGTTGAGACTTGATTGATACGAGAAATATTTAATGATTGAGACTTAGTATTCATTTCCATATTTATATTCGTTTTCTTGGAAAAATGTTTGATATTATCGGAGATTTTTTCAAATAAAACATCTATGTTATTAGTATCAAATTCAAGAGGTTTGACAGTTCTAATAGGTAAAAATGTGTAAGCTTTCTCAATTATGGAGTATTCCTGAACTAAACTGACTAATGGATATAATGATAAATTTGAAATAGAAATGATTAAAAATATTTTGGCAACATGTTGTGTTTTATACATGTATGAACTAAATTGTTCCATGTTATCGAAAATTCGATAATAATAAAATGTTTGATGTAAATAAATTTTCATTTGGTTTTTTTGTTCATCTGTAATATTATCATCATGAAACCAAATACCGATAAATGTCTGTTCGGAATTGGATTTTAAAATTGTTTCTGTATTTTGATGAAAATCTTCCATCTAAAACAAATGTAAAAATATAGCTAAATATATTTAACACAAATATTAATTAAATGTAAATTGAAAATTATTGTTCTGTTAAATGTGTTCGAATATTTAAAATCTTTTGTTGGTAATAGTGACTGATTCGTTTATCAACAGATAATTCCAATGCTTCTATATATGATTTCAAAGCTTCACTATAGTTCTTATCATTATAATATATATCTGCAATATGACCAATTATTATAGAATAATCAATAATAGTCGGTAGTGGTGCATCATTTATTTTTGGCAATTCAGTAATGAATTGTTTAGTTGTTTTTCTTAGTGATGTATTCGAATTGATCAGTTGAGTATTTTCGAAGACTTTATTATATACCATCAGTGCTTTATTCAAATACTGTTCTTTGTTATTCCGTTCTTTTTCATATTTTTTAGTGTACAATAATCCCATATTATTATAAATAGCTGATAGATAAACAGGCTCTGAAGAGAGTTTATCCAGTAAATAATTAAAGTAACGTTCACCCTCTTCAAATCGATTAAGAAAAAATAAATAATTACCATATGTTAACCATGATAACTTCACATCGATTTCTAATTGTAATTGTTCTTTAACAGAATAAAATTCTTTATCAACAGACTTTAACTTCGCATAGTAAACATCATCGGGTGCTTGATGGACTGATTTCAAACGGAATACTGTACCAGGACGAAATACCACGTGATTGGAATCAATTTCTATCCATTGTGTATCTTCAATAATTTCTATTTCGAATAGAATAGATATCAGACCATTGTCAACCATTCTTCTTGCAATAGTACGTGCCGTTAGAAGAGATTTTGTTGCCAGAACAAAGATACCAATACTGATGTACTCATCGAGACCAGTCTGCATCATTTTTAGTATATCATTCGTAATTATTTGTGAAATATATACATTATCTAAGGAACTGGATGTTTTAATCATTTGTTGAATCTTTATAAATTGTTTTTGTAATATAAATAAATCATTGAATTTATCTAATTGATGAATTTTTAAAATAATTTGTGAAAATTTTGGATCTTGAAGAAAGTTCGTTGCATTATCGTTCTCTTTCTGTAATTGATATATATAATATGCCGTATCTCTTCCTTGATTTGAAAATAATATCTCACAAATTCTTTGAAGCTCTTCTAATTTAAATTCTAATATTGATACTAATGGTAAAATATCAATGAATAAAATATATGTAAGAAAAGTTCGATGTTTATCATTTAATTGAGAAATCAATTTTTGTTGATAATTAATTCTGGAAAATATATCGATTCGTATTGTATGAGTATATTGTTCTCGATAAAATTGAATATCTTTATGTAGTTGTTCACAAAGATTATCTAGATTATTAAATGTTCCACTCACTTTTCTTGTATTTATCGGATATTTATGTTCATAGTTACGTAGGAAATATATAGCATGTACTTGTTGACAATCAAACGTGGATTGTATTTCAGATGAAATTGAACTACCGGAAATAATTAAAAATATTTGCGATTGAGTTTGTTTATTAATAAAATCGAGATAATCTTTGACATCAGTCGAATGATAAACAGGACTTGATTCATGATATACATGAGAACTAATTCGATTATCACAATAAAAAATGACGATATATTCGTTTTGTGGTATGTCAGTAGATATTTTGATAAGAGAACCTTGATTATCTAATTGTTGAGTGTATAATATAGTGAAGAGATCTGTAGATCGATTCCAAAGTGATGGTCTTTTGTTTGTTACGATAGTGTTTTGAATGATTTGGTTATGAATTTCGTTGATATCCAAAAAAGAGCCAACGATTTTTTCCGAAATGGAAGATTCAGTAGATGAGAAGTCAATATTCTTAGGTCCGTATAAATAAATTTTTTCAACACAATAATGTTTATCAATAATCGAAATTATCGAATAAATTTTATTTGTTGAGATAATCAAATATATGAATTTATCCTTGATAGATAATGTGTTAGCAATAAATTCAAATGGATCATTAACAGTTTTTATATCATACGTTGAAAAGATTTTTAGATCGAGATGTTCGATACCATAACATACGATAATAATATTCTTTTTATCTTCTGACACTGAAAAAGTTGTATTGGACACTAAGAAAAATATAATGATTAACTGCAATAGACAAACTGTTATAAGAGTATATGAAGATCAGCGAAAGCAAAATGTCATACACGAATACAATCATATTCAATCTCATAAAGTATAACTTACCTAGTTGTGTACTTGATTCATCTATATGAACGATTGTTTCATCTTCTTCTGGAAGAAAATTAACAATTTCAAAAGATATTTCACTAGAAAAAAAAAATTAAAATTCATATATTTGAAAAAGAAAGATGAGTGTGAATAAGAAAACATTAGAATTAACTTTCTCTCTCATTTATATTTACAATTACATCAACATGACTACACGTTAATTCTCTATAAAATCGATTCATCTTCAATCTTCATATCTTACCTTCCAATAAATTCATCGAAATTAACATGATCTTCAGGCTCATCGTGAATACTAAAACCAAAGAGAGATGGAGTGGCAGAAGCGTAACCCGAAGTAGTAGTCAAAATGGATTCAGATATCGATGGAGGGATGGAGGGAACAGGAGAAGTTGCTCTGGAAGTCGTTACCGATTCATTATCTTGCTTTACCATGAGCCATCGTAGAACGAGTGCTGCTAATGAAAACACTGGCCGTCGTGCTAGTTTTGCTCCTCTATCCTTGACTACATATCCATAACTTTGTTTATCAGGTTTCCGTTCCCATTCGAGAGTAATGAATTCCATAGCTCTTTCAACATCTCGCCGATCGAACCATTTCCGTCCGTTTTTAAAAAGAATTTGTGATGCGCATTCGTTGTTTACGCAGACAGGATAGATTACTGACGAATCTGCAAATATGAAACGATTGAGTACGGATGGCAGCAAAACATTTTTATTGTTGGTCGAAAATAGTTCGAAAAAAAAATTTGTGGCGACTTCATGTAAATCATCAGGTTTATACTTATGACGGCGGTAGCTTGGTAAATTATACTCGGCCCTTTTATTCAAATCGAAAAGGATTTGCTGTTTATCTTGATTGTAGATGAGTAAGTATACCATAGCACATCCATTTGGATTGTATCGATGAACACCTCTCCATGTTTGAATTTGACCATCTGGACTGTAATAAAAACCCCATTTACCATGAACACAATCCTTCAATTCATGTCGACCATAGGCAGCACACTTTTTATGTTTATGGTCTGGATTATTGCATGGACTTTGACAAGGTGCATTGCATTCAGGAAACCAGCCACATTCCCAATTCACATCAAAAGTAACACGCGCAGCACCTTTCGACATTGGTCTGTATTCAGATCTACAATTTACAGATTTAAACAAATAAAAAGAAAAATTTGTTCTACTTATACCAGTGCTGGCAAACGATTTTGTTATCGCTCGTTTTTATTCTTTATTCTCCCTCTTTTATAAAACAAGAATCATCCTTCTCTTCATAATATTCACTCCTTAAATACTCAACGATATCAGTAGTAGTACGTGAGGAAATGGAAGAGAATCAGCATTCTTTACGGCAAGAGATATATCATGCCATAACAGATATTTATCTTATAATTAACAATAGAACCAGCTATATTATTCAGTATAAGTTATTCGGAACCAGGATGGGTGTGGTTATAAGTGTAAATTACATTAAGACACGAATACAATCCACATCCACACCCGTACTCGCACCTTCAAGATTTCTCTAATAAACTGTCTCATACAATTTATGAAGAAAATAGTTAATAAAAATGAAACATCATTTTTCCTTTCTCCATTAAAACAATAATTTTGTTGTTTTGTTATTTTGTTTGCAGAGAGTATTTTTGCGGGTGCAAAAAATCTAGTTACTAACATGTTTCTATATGCCACAGTAAGAGAAGAAATAATTTGCAGAAAAAGAAACATACAGAACAAGAAGAAAAAAAAATGCTTGATAAAGACGATGACATAATACAGAAAGATGGATAAAAGTATTTGATAGGAAGCAAGAAACGTGTACTTATTAATACTGTCATATCTACGCAATACTTTTTATTTTATATTCTTTATGTTGATTTGTACTATTGTTTTATTCATTCTTATCTTGATCCTATATAGTTATGTAATTATTACTCTACCTATTTATAACTACTGCTGGTCAAAAAAAACAATCAGTTTATGCAGTTATATACATCATCTTTTTTTATTGTTAATTCAATTTGTTTCACTTTCAAGTCCATATAATTTAAAAGCTTCAATAATTTTCAATAAATTTCTTCATTGATTGAAAGGTACATATAGATATATCACGTGTCTAAATATATGTCAGCACATTTGCGTGTAATCTGTAAAGTATCTGTTTCTTTTTTTCATCGTTTGTTCTTCGATAGACTCGAATAAAAAGGTTCCCTATGCAAACTTTTGATTCATTCTTCTTTTTATAATTTACTCTTTAGATATATATATATATATATATTTGCTTCTGTTCTTTTTATTATCAGTAGTTGATGATACAATATTGATATCAATTTGTATAATATCTAGAACGACAAGAAATACAGTGGTTTTTACTATCTCTCGAATGCCGTCCATTTTATTTTCAACGTTATGCTATATTGCAGGAAAGTTATGTTATCTTCATATTTATATTGATAATGATTCTAATGACCTTTCTCTTTCAACTATCGACGATCTACTGTCAATGCTTGACACATGTGAATCAATATTAAATGCTACTAACATTCTGAGTTCGATTCGATTTCACTTTGAATTATTGATTGATAAAAACAAAAATTCTATTCATAATAATAATAATACAATACCTGAGACAATTTTTTTAAACAAATTACTTAATATTAAACAAACTGTAAAACTGTCAAACACGTCGAATTCATCATCAAAAGCACAGCATTTCGAACAGTTTTCATCTCAACAAATTAGCGAAAATTATGGAATGATTCCATTAGAATCTACACAAGTTGATCTAAGCTATATCAATATCTCTAAATCATTCATTTGGACAGTACAACGAATACAAATTGAAATGAGTTCTATAGATGCGTATCAGTTACATCTTGTAGTAACTAGATACTTATCAAAATTGAAACATCGACCTCGACATTTATTGGTTTTTATCAATCCTCAATGTGGCAAAGGTGAACAGATTTAAACAAAGTCTTTTTCTTGTAAATTTAAACAATATTTTTATTTTAGGTAAAGGACGTTCTGTATATGAAAAGAAAGTATTACCATTATTTGACGAAGCTAATATAAGTGTAGATACAGTCTATACAGAACGAGCTAATCATGCTCGAGATTACATTAATGAACATATGTCATTGGACAATTATGATGGTCTGATATGTGTTGGTGGTGATGGAATATTTTCAGAATTATGTCATAGTCTTTTACTTAAAACAGCTCGACAAGCTGGACTTAATATGGATGATCCAAAAATCGATATTAAACGACCAGAATTGCGCATAGGCATTATTCCTGCTGGATCGACAGATGCAGTCACTTTTGGAACTACGGGTCACAATGATCCGATTACTAGTACTTTACAAATTATCACTGGTGAATCACTTCTAATTGACATAGCTACAGTAGGCATATAGTTATCTCGAGCATATATATAGAAGTAATCTTCATATATTAGGTTCATAGTGAACGTGGCTTTGTATGTTTTATGGCAACAATGCTAGCTTATGGATTTTTTGGTAATATTATTCGTCAATCTGATAATTGGCGATTGTTTGGTCCATTACGGTATAATTTAGCTGGTTTTTTTCAATTTCTTCGTAACACCTCGTATCATACAGAATTGATAATAACAGAACCTCTTGAAAAATATGATTCGAAAGCATTGATTAACAATCTAAATCGACATTTATTTGGCAATACTGTAAAATGGCAAGGGACAATCGGTGAAAAAATTGATTCTGAACAATCATCTGTACCATTGGTGATCAAGCGTGAAGACCAATATCGAACAATTAATTGTCTTAATATGCCTTGTCGTTGTGAAAAAAGCAAATATGGAATGTCTCCATCTGTACATTTAGGTATCGTCGCCTTTTTAGCTTTCACTACACTATATGTTTTCAAGTTATAAAGAATGAGAGTAAAGCTACCATCAACAATGATATAAAATCTTTTACTGGAATGACTTTTTTTGAAGTATCTATCATATTTGACAACAAAGATTCTATTTGAGACTTGATCTATGTATACATATATATTTACCACAACAAATACTTAAATTATGGTATTGAACGAAGATTTCTTGTTTTTAGGTGATGGTTCATTTGATATAATTCTTGTAAAACGTTCATGGCGTATGGGTTTGTTTCGATTTCTTCGTCATGTCGCTAATGATGCTCGAACAATTGAAGAATTATCTAATGTCGAACGTTATCGTGCTACTGAAGTTATTATTCGTCCAGTTATTACTCAACAAAAAGAAATAGGTAATTGGGCATGTGATGGAGAATTGATCAGTGCTAATGAAGTAAGAATTCGTGCTCATCATCGAGCACTCAATCTATTTGCATCTGGTATTTGTTCTGAACAAATCAAGAAAATTAATAAAAAATAGTCAAAAATCATCGGATGTGTTTTTGTATTTCAGTCTAGAACTAAATTTGCGTAATTCTCATTTCAAAAGAGTAAATTCAAGTTTGTATAGACTAATACGGTAACTAAAACAAGACAACTATCAGCGATTGACTTCAATAACAAAAAGTTAAATATATGTATCATTACTCCAAAAGTATAATGCATAAATAATAATCTGATATAACTTTGGCAATATTTGGAGACACCAAACAAATATTAACAAATGGTTATATAGTTTTAAGAGTTATTACTGGTTTGTCAATCTATCCAAGTTTGAAAATTCAAAATTGTATGGATTTAATTAATTTAAATTTTTTATTGATTTAGTTTATAGTTATTTACTTTTTTTATAACAGTTATTCCTTCTTTGTTTTCCAAAGAGATACAGAGAAGTATTGATATTGTAGGACTTAATAACTGATTTTTGAATAAATACAATAAAAAAACGGGTCATATTCATGTGGTTTTAATGATAATCTCATCTAAATACTATCACTATTACTTCTTTTTAAATACTGTTAAACTGAATATTTAATCACATGAATTGATAATTGTTGTTGTCTCGAGCAAGTTTATATAATAGAATAAAATAATTGATACATTTGAGGTGTTATAGAATTCTTGAGGAAATATAATGATTTGTTTTTCGCAGATTTTTAACAACATCACATCGAATAACATAAGAAAAATGTATATTACGTCAATAAATAAGATTCAAGATTAATATTGAATAATTGCATACTAATGACGCAATCTTGCGATGTCAACAATATCGAGGTGTATTTAATCTAAATTGCTACAAACTTAAAAGTAGAGAATTATTATCTAATTAATTCTCCAGTATTTAAAAAGAAAATTAAATTACAGCAAACATGAACAAATCAAAATATTTTAAAAACAATTAAACGAATAGTTCAAAATATTTTCGTATTTGGACTACTTCTCGAAGTTTAGCTTTAGCCGAATTTGACAGATTACATGAACGTAAATCAAGTCTCTTCAATGATCGATTGTAATGTATCATATCAGTTATATAACTGACACTTGTGTTGTTTATCGTCTTATTTTCAGCAAGTAGTAATCGCTGAAGTGTACAGTTATACTTAAGTGCATTGGTCAATTTTTCGACTCCAGAGTTACTTATTTCATTTTCTTCTAGTCCCAATACAGTCAATCGATGATTTGTTTTAAGCATTTCGCTGAGATAATGTACACCTTCGTCTGTAATACCATTTTTTGATATACCTAATACGAATAAGGAGGAGTTCGCAACTGTAGACGCTAAATATTGTACACCTTTATCGGCTACTTGATTGTCCCCAAAGTAAAGTCTACTCATATGTACATTATTACTTAATGCATTGCCAATGATTGATGCACAAGGGGGAAAAAGTGAGACTTCAGCAAAAAAAATACTTCACCGTACTTCAGTCGTACTTCAAATACTTTTCGAAGTAGATAAAGTCTCGCTTTCTCCCCTTGAATTAAGTACAATAACCATAAGTAATATAAGTAAATACATTGTTGTTCGTCGTTCTAATCTATCCGACATAATACCAGTTAAAAATGAACCACTTGTACCAATAATATATGCATTGTGTATTATACCTTTTAAATGAAGACGTGTACAAACAAAATTCCAATCCGTTGATATTGTTTTATTATAAAATGTATCATCAAATACCCATTGAGTGCATGGTATGGGATTTTTATTTGAACTATTTTTATCAAACATAGTACATTCTGGATCTTTTAATTCTGATGGTATATATTTATTAATGTAATTTTGATGTAGATTTGATTGTATTTTATATGTATCCGTAAAATGATCTAAATTTAATTGACAACGATGATCAGGTGTAGCAGCTATAAAAACATAACTAAATGCTGTCATAGCTGGTAATACAGCAAGAAGACCAACAAGAAAAAATTGTTTTTTGATAGAGACCAAACGAACCAGCATCATATAATAATTGATCGATTGTACTTGTTGCTGGTGATGATATTTGTGGTTGGCCTTGAGAATAAGTTTTTTGAAATAATTCAACAAGTGAACGTTTACGATTCGTTTTTGGTATCGACATTGATGATTTTTTTTTTACTTTGAATGAAAAACTACAAGTGATACGTTTTCTTTTTTGTTTGACAATTGTAATTGTGATATCATAAACTATGTAAAATTTCATGGATCATTGGAACATCAATTATAGTTATAGAAAATGTTTTGTGTCTTTTCTTTACAACTTTATATTCAACAGTTGATGAAAACCAAAAATTTATTTATTCAACTAAACGTAATTCATATCTTACTAAGATATATTAAGAAATTGGTCTTTATTTATATAAATTTGAGGAATTGAAGTTAAACTTTTATTTGAAAAAAAATGAAACGAAAATTATTCAAAAATCACTTCTCAAGTTTTGAAATAGTACAAAATGCTTTTTAATAATTTGCTTCTCAGAAATGATAGAATAAGTATTGGATTATTATTTTTATTTTTATAGTAAAGTGACATTATCATTTGGTGGTATTATATCATGTGTATACATAGATATAATATCAAATATTTTAAATACTAATTGAAGTGGTATCAATTTGGTCAAATAATCAAACAAAACCAGCAATTGTTGCTTATTTTGATTATGAAGTATTTATATTGTCAAAAATTATTACCAGATGGAAGTGATCGTTAAGGTTTATTGAAACTAGAACATCAATAAAAGAGCGGCCAGGAATAGCTAATTAGTTAAACGATTTACTGCTTCACCAAAGGAAAAAAAATATTCGGCAAAACCTATTGAAACACAAAACTAATTCTCTCAGAAAGTTTGGTGAAATATATTTCTATCTATTAAAAACTATTACGCTAGTGCACAAAAAAGTATGTTACTAGTTCATGTTAAGATAGCAGCACGAAATAAAACTTTTCTCTAGCTTCAATGGACTGTAAATAATAGAGAAGAATTTCAAATATCTCTGATGTAATATAATTAACCAACGACAGCTATCGATATCCATCACTCTCTCAATATATACTATATACTAGCTACCCATTTTATGTGATTGGCTTTGTGTGATAACTATAAAATTCTTGGGTATTTCTATTCAATCAGATAATATAATTATTAATATTTAGAAATAAATTTATTAAATATTTGATAAAAATATAATTATAAAATATAATATATAAATCAAATTTATACTGAATAGATTTCTAAATCATTTTATTATTGTTTTTTTTCTAATTGATATGAATATTGTGGGTTTTTTTAATAGAATATATTAGTTATGAACGGTCTATTTATATTTCGTCGTATTTTATCAATCTCATTATCATCGAAAGGAATCTATCCAATAATGAAGAAACTTTCTCAAGATTCACTTAATAATTCTTCTACACAAACATCACTTATTCAATCATATAGTAAGTATTTTATTTAAATTATAAAATAAATATGATAAATAATGTTTCAAGTACAACGTCAGGCCATTAATAAAGCTTATCGTTTGTTTTTAAATATGACCAATAAATCAAATGATATTTACAGAATTATGATCAAAGGTTGTTAATTATTTTTGTCATTTGATTACTCTTCATTAACATATTTTTAGGTCTTGTTTCAAATAATATGTTGGAAAAAGTACTTGACTTATTTGATGATATTAATATTCAACCAAGTCCCATTATTCTTACTATGTTATTTGGTGTTTGTGCTCGAATTAATAATGATCGGGCTAAAGAAACAGGAAAAAAATTTCTCAATCAAGCATCAAATGAAATGCTAAACGATAATATTCTACTTACTTCAGCAATCAACATGCTCATGAAATTCGGCGATGTTAAAAATGCTGAAGATTATTTTGATATAATAAAGAACAAGAATATTATTACTTATGGTGCAATGTTGAAAGGTAAATTATTTGAATAAATTTAGAATATTCAAACAAAATATTCAATTTAGGATATACATTAAATAATATGTGTGATAAAGCATTAGATTTATATGAACAGATAAAATTGAAGCACAATAATATTACTTATACCATTTTGTTGAATGCATGTGCTCAACTTTCAACTAATCGAGCAAAAGAAATTGGAAAGAAACTTCTTCATCAAATATCAAAAGATCTTCCACATGATAATATTCTACTTACTTCAGCTTTAGATATGTTAATGAAATTTGGTGATATTAAAAAAGCTGAAGAACTTTTTCATTTAATAAAAACTAAAGATATTATTATCTATGGAGCAATGATGAAAGGTAAATTATTCAAATAAATTTAAAACATTCAAAATATTTAATTTAGGTTATACATCAAATAATATGTGTGAGAAAGCATTAGATTTATATCAACAAGTTCAATTAAACCATAATAATATTACTTATTCTATTTTATTTAACACATGTGCTGAACTTTCAACTAATCGAGCAAAAGAAATTGGAAACAAACTACTTCGTGAAATGCCAAAGAAATTCAAAGAGTACAACTATATAAATAATTCCGCTATAGATATGCTAATGAAATTTGGCGACATTAAAAATGCTGAAATTTTATTTCAAACAATCAAAAAGAAAGATATTATTACTTATGGTGCTATGATGAAAGGTTATAATATAAATAATGAACCATTAAAAAGCTTGAAACTTTTCGAAGAAATGAAAAAAAATAATATAATAATCGATGAAATCATATCCATCATATTGATTGATACATGTGCTAAAATTGGTATTCGTTCAATGTGTCAATCAATTGTTAATCAAATCTCACCACATTTACTTGATAATCAACAAATAAAGAATGCATTAATTAGTATGTGGGTGTGTATATTTATCGTGAAGATTTTCTAAACAATTAATTATTTTTTTTGATTACAGGGTAAAGCTGGTCTAGTCAAAAATGCTCAACAAATATTTGAATTGGTCGATCAACCTGATGTTATTACATATAATGCAATGAGTAAATATATTCTATTTTATTTTTAATTGTCTAATTTTTTTCTATTTTTTCATTAAAGTTAATGCTTATGGAAAGAATCTTTTGGGTTTAGAAGCTGTTGATTTATATCGAAAGATGCCTGTGAACTTACGCGATAAAATTTCATATGTTTCTGTATTAAATGCATGTTCACATTCAGGTCTTTTTGATGAAGCTTATTCCATCTTTAATAAAATTTCAAATAAAACAAAAAATGTCGTTACTACAATGGTATATTTATTTGATATTTTTTGTTTAATAGAAAATTTTTCTCATAATTTAGGTTGATTGTGCAAGTCGTCTTTTTTTATTTGATGAAGCAAAAAAACTCATAGAAGATTATGAAAAGTATAATGCACCATATTCAGTAATGTACAGTAGGTGTTTTTGCTTTCAATATTAAATTATTTTACTTAACTAATAATTTGTTTTAATTCTAGTGGCACTTTTATCTGGTGCACGTAATGCTCGAAACTCTCATTTATCAAAAGAAGTTTATCAAAAAATAAAAGTATTATTTCCAAATGAAAAAAATGTTTTAATATCTGCGTCAATTCTTCTTTGTAATATATCCTCATCGTTAGGACGTCACGAAGAAGCACAAACTATTCGATTAGATCGAATTAAAGAATTAGGAAATAAAGTTAAAGCAGGTTTATCATGGACTGAAGTTAATGGAGAAGTAGTGGTAAGAGAATTTTCTCATAAAAAATAAACTTCGGAAAAGAATAGTTTATTAATTATTTTTAGCAATTCACAGCTCATGATCAGTCTCATCCTCGATCAAAAGAAATCTATGCTGAGGCTCAACGAATATCATCTGAACTAATTAAATATGGGCATGTTCATGATGCAAGTTGGATTACTCGTCCATTACGTGAACATGAAACAGCTGAATCTGTTTTATGTTCGCATAGTGAAAGGTTGGCTATTGCCTTCAATTTTATCGAAGGAAGAAAACCATCTTCCATTCAAATCACGAATAATCTTCGTGTTTGTGGTGATTGTCGTAAGTTATTAGTTTTTCTCGATCGTTCTTAATAACGTCTGTATATCTTTTTCTAGATCAAGCTACAAAATTAATTGCCAAAATCCGGCAAGTGGAGATTGTAGTTCGTGATGCTAATTGTATTCACCATTTTTCAACGAATGGCACATGTTCATGTCAAGACCATTTCTAGTTCTTTATTTTTTGAAAAATAAAATATAACTTCATATTAAGGTGCCGATAATGCAAAACTTGAGGGTGTGGGTGTGGGTGTGTGTGGGTGTGGGTGTGGGTGTAGTTAATGAATGGAAAGAATACCGACACCCTTTTTCTTTTCATCTGAACAAGCATATTTTCTTTTTCTTAGACTACTTTCTTTCTTCTTCTTCTCTTATTATATTTAGTCGACATGAATATTAAGATAAACTGATATTTAACAAATATTATAATTCATGTTTACCATTCTTTCCATTCTTTCACTTAAATGTTATTTATTTGATTTATTTAGTTTATTGATTTAAATTCGATATATTCATTGCTGTCGTTTCATCAAATTAGATGACTTAGTTCAAAGATTATTTGGATGTTCAATTTATCATTCATTTAATAATAAATTATTTTATTATTATCTTGTACCACAATTTAATTTTGGCCATATTTTCAATTATGTTCAATAATAGTCGTGATTTATTAAAATGTGTGGAATGTGGAATTGATAAGGTAAAATTAAACTTAAACTTGTTATTTATTTAATTGTTTGTTTTTTAGAATCTGTGTATTTGCTTATCACGTAACTTGGTACTTTGTGACCACCCATGTCAAAAAATACGGGCGGGTTCCGGCAGGAATACGCTGTAAATCGCTGGCACATGTGTGCGGTATTTCCACAGGAAATTGTTCGGATTTTTTCCGATGATTTTCCACCGATTCCTGTAGCAAAACGCTGGCAATTGGTTGAAATCTGTAGGAAAAAATCCAGAAAATTTTCGGTGTTTCTGCAGAATCTGGTAACTTTCCAGCGTCTTTCCTGAAAGATCCGATGGTCGTAATATTCGACCTAGTGATTATCAAATCTGCAAATTTTAATCCGTCTGTATTTTTATGGTGTGAGTCACCGTTTCAGATAATCCTCAAGCCAGTATATGTTTATCTAAAAAATGCTTGTGAACAAAAATTAATCGATTTAGATGTAATATACCCGTCCCATATTTTGGGCGGGTATATGAAGCTAATTATGGAACAAATGACACTGGTATCATATATAATAACTCATTGTTCGTATGAACCAGCAGATAATGATGTGATTCGTTTCAATCAAGTATCATTTTATATTGAAGAGATTTTTTATGGGGATTGTAGATATTCAATTTTGAAGTTGATGGTAATGAAGATGGAAAAATTGATGGATATTTGCAATTGGAAATTTGATAATTTCACTTTGAAAGAATTATGTCGGCAACATATTTTAAAGTATGTTCGAAATAACAGAAAATTGTTTATTCAAATCGAAAAAGAGTTGAACATTTCTAATGATTTGAAAAAATTTTGAAATTTATTTAATTTGTTTGTTAGTTTTTGTTTTTTTTCGAATAAAAATAAATTTTTTAAATAAATTAGATGACTTGTTAAGAATCGAAATAAATTTTTCTTTTAGATTTTTTTATAGGACAATACATTCGTATAAAGTCACATTGTCTTCGAGGAGTAATTAATAATAGGGCCAACGAAAACTGTATCTTTGTCAGGTCATTTTGTTTTAAATCCTTTCTAATTGTTCATTCTAGATGAATCAATTAAATCATATAATAATAATTAAAGTGAATTATATTTTATTTCGTTTTATGATTTGTAAATTATGATTCTTTTCTGCATAGTGATCTGGTGAATTACTAGACATTTAAAATGTTTATTCAGTAAATTAAAAAATTTAATCCAAAATTTGAATTTTGTTTTATTACCGTGAGTGTATTGACCCAGGTGTTATTTCTGTTCTACCCACACACACACCCCTTTCACGTCTTATAAGGCGACGTTTCAGATGGTCTGAATGATCGACCTGGGGTAACTTGGTACTTGGTGACCATATGCATAAAGTACCAGGAATCCGATGGAGAAGTGAAGTAACCGTATTCGGCTGCCGGCTTTGACATGTTCCTGTCGATTCCGGCCCAAACCAGATAAATCCGGTCACCGGATCTGTTCGACGGGAATACTGCTTCCATGAAATCTCTGGAATATCACGGAACAGGCGGTTTCCGTGCCGGATTGTTCGACCTGGATATTATAGGTCAATAATAAAATTTTTATAGAATTAAAAAGAATGAATCATAATTTAAATGAAACTGTTGATAAATTAACAAAAGAAAATGATCAATTGTTAACAAATGTTAATACTTTGTTGAATGAAAAAGAAGAACAATATAAACAATTAACTGAAGTTGATGAACGTTTAAATGGCCAAACAATATTAAATGAACACTTATCAAGAAAATTAAATAAAAATGAACAGAGATTTGTCAAACTGGAAATGGATTTTCAAGAAGAGAAACTCACGAATAAACAATTAGTTGAAAATGTTCAGAATTTAAAAAATGAAATGGATAACAAGGACAAAGTAAATAAATATGTGTTTATTCTATTTGTAATTGTTTATAATTTACTGTGCCTTAGAAGATTATAGAAATTCGTGCTCAAGTGAACGCTTTGATTTTGCATATTAGCTGTGGAGACAAACTAAAACAGGAGGCTAATGAAGATGAACTGAAACAAAGTAAAATAATTATAAAAAAAACACGTGATACACGTCGTAAATTAAAAAAAATATGTACTCAATTTTTGTATTTTATTTCGATTATTTAATTTTGGTTTTTTGTAAAATAAAATAAATTGGTTTTAAGAAATTAAAATTTTATTTAAGAAACAAATCATTGTAGAATATATAATATGGATCTCAAAATAATTAAAGATTATACTTGTACAATTATATTTTTAAGATAAATGATAAAACAGTTGTTTTAAAGATCGATGAAAATCAAATCTAATTCAATAGAATAATTTATAGATAATCGATTTTTTGTTTCAATAAAATATTAAAAATCTAATTCAACTAATACATAAATTAATAATAATTATTATCGATTATCTCTCTTTTTTATAGTAAAATATTTTAACATTTTTCTTATATTTGAAAATAACAAAAACTTCAAAGAGAAAAATATATATAAAACTATAAAAAAGAATTTTGTTTTTGAAAATCAAATAAATTTTCTTTTATAAATGAATATGATTTCGTATTCTATAGGTAGAAAAATATTTTCTAAAGGGAATTTTGGAATTTCTATCCAAAAGATAAAATATGAACGAATTCTCTCAGTTTGTTTCATTATTGTAAAAATTTTAAATGAGAAAACTTAAACAATAATTCTAATAGTCTAAATAATTCGTTGTTTATTTTTTTAAAACAAAAATATTGTATTAATATTCTTTAGTATTTTTTCAAATATTTTTATATAAATTAAATTAAAACAAATTATTTATTTATTTGTCTATTATTATCAAATAAAATGATTATATTTTCTTTTTATTAAGATTCTTAACAATCAAGTCATTCTACAATTAATACAACAACTGTATCAAAGAATCCAATAACAACAAAACAAATATTAACTCAATCTCAAATAAAACCAAGTATGTTTTATTAAATGAAAAATAATTTTATCATCTTTAAAATTGAAATAGAACTTTTCGCATAAATTACTTTCATTAATTAAGTAACAATTTAAATTAGTTTTTCCAAATAGTATTATGCTTTTGATAAGAAATAACAATTTCTCCTCAAACAATATTCATAATTTCGTTCTTTTCTATTTTTATATTACTTAATATAACATTGAAAAAAGATTTCATCCATCGTTTTTAAATTGTTTTTGCCATTGAGATATTGAGAGTATTATTAAATAAATGTTTAAAATGAAAATTCTTTTGAAAAGTAACAAAGTTTTTCATTTAAAATGTTTTTTATAAATTAATTTGTCTGAATAAGACCAAAATTTAACATCGCAAGTTTTATTTTCTAATTAAAATAAATATTTTTCACAATTGAAAAAACTTTTATAGAATTGTTAATCAAACTAATCGTTCGAATAGTTTTTTAAAAAAGAAAATAACATTATATTAAGAATTGAATATATTGAGGGTGTGGGTGTGGGTGTAGTTAATGAATGGAAAGAATACCCACACCCACACCCTCATCAAAAATTGCTTAGAATATTGTGAGAAAGACAAATAGAGCAAAATAATTTTTCTTTTACTTGAGTATCAAATATAACAAGTATTATTGTAATTCTATAGAAAAATGATAAAACTACAATAGTTACACGGTAATCTATGATTTAGTATCAATCAAGAACTAATCACTTACTTGATTGTATTGCAGTAGATTTCGGTAAAAATTATAGCAGTAGTAAAGCAAAAAGTGTTTTAAGAAAAAGAGTAAATAGTACAAGAATAAATAAACATGTAGGTGTACATGGACAAAAAGAACAACCAAAATATCTACGAAGATACATATATATTATAATATTCAATACATAAACTGAAAAATATACCTTCGTTTTTTTCACTTCTTGGTTTTGTCTATGATTTGATGAAGGCCATTCATCAGCTATCCTAATTGTATAGAAAAAATAGCTTTATTTTTACTAGAACTAGTAAATTGAAATGGACTATAAGAGCTATCATTCTATAAGATTTCAAAAATAATATGATCATATCGTACTGAACCCTTGATTTGTCATTGTTCATCATGTAGCTAATCGTCAATAAATTATTAAAATTAATATATAGGACAAAATCGTTTCGAAATTTATTACTTGAAATAATGAAATGATTATAGAACAAACTGATAGAAATAGACAAATGTTCTTGATTTTTGTATCAGCCATTGTTTACTTGATATTTTCTGATATAATTTATACGAAATTATTTTAATATATTTATTAACGAATACAAAATAGCTATGTATAATATTAATTGATTTTATTTTTATGAAGCAGGGTTATATATAACTTCGTTTGTATTCATTTTACTTGTAGTTATAGTTCGTGAGATTTAGTTAGTATGTTAAATAATTTATATTGATAAAAATCAATTTCTTGATATTAAGATCTGTATTCAATCGTCAATCAATTATAATTAACTAAGATAAAAACACATACACCCTTGCCATTGGCAAAAAACATCTATGAATCAGATAACCATTTGTGATATGTATATGGATATCGTTCATGACTGGAACAATTATGAAGCAATGATAAGCATTTAATTATCCATCATTACAAATAAATTATTTTCGAGATTTTACAAAAGAATCTTATAGAAAGGTAGAACATTCTTTTATATCACTACTACTATTTTTGGTATGTCCTAAGTTATAATGAGCGTACTAGTACAATTATTACATGAAAAAATCACGTTTGATGACACAATGAATAATTTTCTGGTTCAATAGTTTAAAAGTCAATCTTGTTTTTGTCGTGCTACGCTATATTACTATTTGCATTTTATTCTAACGAACACTATAATATGTTTCTGCTTAGAAAATCGAGATTTATTTCCCTTGAGAATCGTTCTAGTTCACCGATTCAAGTGTTTTCTATGGGAAAAAAAATTATCAGACGGAGTTTAATCGAAATGTTCTCTATAGACTTCTATGATTGATGGTGAATCGAAATTCTGCTACTCTGTGATACGAAACTCATTAATTAAATGTTAGTCAAAAAAAAGCGATCAGTATACACCTTTTGAAAGCCGAATTTCCTATAAAAAATATAACGGATAACTTCCGTTCTTTATTTGTACTGATACACCTTACATCACAATGATTGATTATTAGCTAATATGTCTGGACCGGTGAGATTGACTTGTAGGGTATCATCAATTTTAACAGACTGTTTATAGTACAGACAAAGTATGTATCAGAGAATGATTTATAATCATTTCTATTATATTTAAAATCTATTATAAAAACTTGAAAACATATTTATTATTTATACAAATAATTGAAAACACAACATTAAAATGACTAGTATTTTTAAACATCAATATTTTCTTCTTCAGCAAGACGAACAACAGTTGAATTTGAATTTTTTAATTTACATGATGATTCTGTTTCAATACTTGTACATGTTGTTGATAATGATAATCGTTGACTATTTTGTTTTGATAAAGAAACTGATTCATAAGCACTATCATGTGGAAGTTTTGCAGTTGAAGATATTGAAGATGAATAACTACTTTGAACTGTTCGAGAGAATTGATGATGGTCTGATAATGAATCCTAAATATTTAAATTATTGAATATAGTAAAATAAAGAAAATTCATTTAATATACTTTATCATTTAAATGAACTAATCTTTCATGTTCTTCAGATTCATTATCATCAATTTTACTACTACATGGACTTTCATTTTCAATATAGATTGATTTTCGAGGAATCGAAACATATAAATGATATGTTTTATTTTCTTTATAACATTTTCGATGATTAAATATAAATTTATAAAAATAAAAAATTATACCAATCATTGAAAATATAATAATTAAAAATAAACAAATAACTATAAATGAATAATAATATTTAAATTTTCCTAAATTATCAATTAATAATATAGATTTATTTGAATTCGTAAGATTATTTTTTGTTATTGAAATTGATATATAACAATCATATGTTGAATTTAAACGAATTGGTTTTCCATGATCAATAGCCATTATTTGAAAATGATAATATGACTGATTTAAATATTCTAAATTAAATATTTCACCTTGATCATTAATCATAAATAAATCATCATATGGAGATAGTATTGAATATGATATGAGACTATTATCATTTAAATCTAAATCAGTTGCTTGTACTTTAAATAAAGGTTGATCTAAAGATTGATTTAATGAAATATTTAAATGTAAATTACATTTTAATGATTGATTAAATTTCGGTGGTGAATCATTTAAATCAATAATATTTATTTGATATTCTAATCGTATTGATTTTGATGGTTTTCCATTATCAGAAATAATTAAAATAAATTTATTTGATTTGATATTTTCATCTTCACGATCAATTAAATGATTAATAATAAGTAGAAATGATTTTTGATCAAGTATTTTTATTCCAATAATATCATTACCTTCTTCAATTTTATATGACATTTCACTATTTAAACCTGAATCTTGATCTGATATTGATATATGTGCTAAAATTTGACCAATAGGAATATTTTCTGGAATGGAAATTATTGAATTATTTAAAATTGGATATACAAATGTAACAAATGCTTGAGGATAATTATCATTTTCATCAAGAATAGATATATCAATTGATACGAAACTTGAAAGTGAGTTTTCACCTAAATCTCGAACTTGTATTGTTAATCGATAGGATTGTTCAATTTCATAATCAAGTGAATTAACAAGAGTTAATCTAAAAACAACAAAAAGAAATTTATTTGATAAATTTAGACGAAAAAAAAAATATAATTTACATTCCAGTTGATTCTCCAATACGAAAATAATCCATCCAACTAGATGAAGGAAAACCATTACTAATTGAATAATGAATCTATAGAAAATAAAATATAGATAAATATGTCTAGTTTAACTAGTAAATTATTTTACTTTTCCATTAAGTCCAATATCTTTATCTGTTGCATTAATATATGCTAATTCAGTTCCAACAGGTGTATTTTCACTAACATGAAGATGAATATATGTTTCAGAAAGTTCAACTGAATTATCATTCATATCCTGAAAATAGAAAATCATTGAAGCGAATAATTTATTAATTCAATAATACATACATCAATTTTAATATATAATTTAGCTGAACTTTGTTGACGTGGTTGTCCATAATCAAAAGCAATTAAATCATATTCATAAAAATCTTTTTCTTCCCGATCAATTTTTTTAATTACTTTCAAAGCTATGCCACCATTTATTTTCATTATTAATTCAAATGGTCCGTCATTTAAACTTAAAAGTTCATAATTAATTCGACCATTTTCACCTAAATCAGTATCATAAGCTGATTCTAATGGTAATTCATATCCAAATGGTACATTTTCTATTATATTTAATTGATAAATTTCGGATGAAAATTTTGGTTTATGATCATTAATATCTTCAATATTTAATATAAGTCTTAAAAGACGATAGGGTGTTTGCCATTCAATTAATTCAATAATTAATTGACATTTACTACATGAACATATATGTTGTAAACATAAATCTTCTCGATCTAATAAATGTTGAAGTAAAACATGACCATTCGATGTATTATAATATATAAATGAATTTTGATTTCGACCTGAATCAAATAAACGATAGATAATATTATTTGGTGTTATAAATAATATTGTTGATACTGGTAATTCTTCATTAATATGTATATTAATTATTTGATAATCTTTATCATCACTATAGGATAGTGTTAAAAAGGATAAAAAGAATAGAAAAAAAATCATCTAAAAAAAAAGGAACAAGAAGATTTTATCATTACAACTGAGATTGTTTTGATAAAATTAATAATCGATGAGACATTTATACCCATCGGCTATTATTTAATTTTCTTGACAACGAATAAGAAAAATGAACATATGGTATAAATACATTACATTGTTAAACTTACAAGATGATGCCTCTTCATTTAATATTATCCTCGGGTTTCAAATCATAATCATCTACTAAAATAGCTCTTCATGATTGAAAATTTCATGAAAAAGAAAATATCACTTATATATTCACTCACCTTTCTCATCTAGTGTCAAAAAGATAATAAAATTTCATATTAAATTATTGATTCTTACTTACAATTCGACATACATATAATCGCATGAATGAACATAGGTCGAGTGGCTGTCGCTCATTACTGTCCTAAATATGATGATTATAAACAATTCAGTACTATAGGCGTTGATTTAAATTCATATTGAAATGATGGGACACACACGCATGCGTTTATATTTATATCTCGAATCATTGAATCATCAAAAAGAAAAAAGATCAAGAGAGATGCTTACATGTTAATACGAAGGTCATTTTGATGATGTGAATATATATATATATCTATACATACGCATGATTATCTATCATAACATTGCCTTCGTTTGTCTGTAACAATTCTGATAATCAATGACCGTGTTCCTGTCTATCTCTATCTCAATCTATCGATCTATCGACACTATTAAGATAAACAGTCTGTTATAATTACTTACGTAAAAGTATTTTAATCTTGAAAATTTTCTTCAAGTATTACCTGTATATAATAAAAATAACAACTGTCTATTATAACAGTCAATCCATTAGTTTATATACGGTCTTGGTCAAGATGTTTTTGGATGCCACTCAGTTCTATGACTTACTTGTTGATTTATAATTAGAAAGAAAGAAACAGATTGAATAAGAATCACTCATACGGTTCCTTGCGTGCGTGTGTGTGTGTGTGTGTATGATTTTATTACATCATTCTCTGTAAACGAGAAAACGAGAGTTACTATAATATAACTCGTTCTCTTTTATGATTATTTGATGAATGGACAACGACACTAGCCGTTCACAGTAAGAAAGAAGGAGAAGAAGAAGAAGAAGAAAAAAAAGTAGCGCGTCAAATAGGAAGGAAATCTTTAAATAGAACGAGCAGAAAAAAGGACAATGAATGACAAGTATGAAATAGAATGTGAACTCGATCAACATCACGTTTTTCCATTTGTCTCTTGTGATCAGATATTCGCGTTATTCATATCAAAGAATATAACAAAAAAACGACTAGATCGACTTCAATTGACTTTAATAAAATATTAATCAATTTTCTTTCTTTTTTATATACACACTTCAAAATCGCTATATTATTCATTGAAAAAAAAGTAAAATCATGTAAAAAAAAATCTCCATGATGTAATATCATTAAAAAAAAATTAAACATGAAATGAAATAAAAGACATATTAATACATTTTAGACGTCATTCAACACCTTTAATTATCTATAGTGGAAAAGTCTAATTCTATGCTTGCATCATCTTCATCATTAAAGATCTATCTTGACTTCTAATAAGATTTATTTAAAAGAAAGATAATTTCATCATTTGAAAAGCAAGTGTATATGAGTTAATTGTTAAAGAAAAACGATTTATAATTGACCACCTGCTGTGAACAAGGCTATTTATTTACGGTGTTAGCCTATCATCATTCATTATAGCATGCATCTGTGCCGTCAAAGGAAATAATTTGTGTGAATGTGTCGGTCAATTCACTTCTTCTTCTTTTTTTTTTTTTGTTTAAGACATAGAAAAATTCTCTTTGAAGAAAATGAGACTGAGTGAAACAGATGGACAAATGAAAATAATCGATCAGTGCACTATTGTGACTGACATTTTTTTAAGTTATCGATCATGATCAACATGTCTACGATATCGTCAACTTGAGATGAGAAATACAGAAGAACATCAGGAGTTTTTTTTTCTTCTTTTTTTGAGAAATTTTCTAAGGTTAATCGATGTCTGTATATACATTTGAAACATTGTAAATTTCTAATGACTATCATTGATCATGTTTTATTACGTTTATACATACAATAGTAATTAATTTACTTGTCCTTTTGATTCTTTGCGATGTCTTTTATCTCTTTATGAGATGAACAAGGCAAACTAATCGGATACACTATGTAAGAATGATGATGGTGATATAATATAGTTATGATGAAAGAGTGTTTGTTTTTACTAATATTTTGATCAAAAGATGTAGATTTTTCATTACGACTAATATCAACAAACATAAAATAACATTATTTTGAAATCGGATAGATATGTTTGATCATATTTCATCAATATTTTGTCTTCAGAAATATTTCAAAAATAATAATCAATAATCTTGTGGTGGTAGCACTCAATGAAGAAGAATTTTTATGTTTGGTCCAATTTCCTGAAACTTTTCAATCTGTTAAGGAGTAACAAATCGTTTTGAGTAAAGGAAGAACAGGAGAGGAATCTCTTGAGATATTAAGTCACTATATAAGTAGTATTACGTTCTTATACGAATAAGGGTGTGGGTGTGGGTAAGAAAGATAGTCACACTCACACTCTCATGCAGCTTATGAGCACACTTTTCATTAAGTCAATAAATCGTTAATTTCGGACAAGGAGATTTTTAATGTTTACGTAAGGAAGTTTATACTTTTTTACCCACATATTCCATTACAATTGTTTACTAAATTATGAATATATTCATGATGAACACATCAGACTTGTTAATCAAAAAAACTCTTCTTGTTCTTCGGTTAAATAATGAAATTTGTAAAAAAGTATATTATTTAATGAATTGACCTTAAACATATATTATCAATCAGATTTATTCTATCACAAGAATTTTCTTTTTTTAAGAACAGTAATAAGTTATATTTCTATTCTTTGTAATAAATTTTAATTCTCCTATTTGAACATCTTTATTTGTATTTTGAAAATCATCTTGAATCAATATTCTGACAAGGATGACTATTTAATTAAGCCCGATCGGTATATAAACAGAACAATATAGGAATATTATTTATTAGAAACTTATGAAATAATTAAATAAATACATCTTTTGTTAGAAAGTAAAAAGGATTTATCGGGACTATATGATATAAAAAAAAATATAAATATTTTAATATATAAGCACAATATTAATGTGATAAAACAAATGTTCAATTAAATTCAAACTGGAAATTGACAAATCTGTAACAAAATTTCTACATAATTGGCTTGGGCATTGGCTACAACAATAGGGTGTGGGTGTGGGTGACAGTAAGGCTGTAGATGAGTCTCTCTTTCTTTAATAGACATCCACATCCTCACCCACACCCAAGATTGATTCCAATGCCTTTCATAAAAATTATTACTATCATAGTTTTACATTTATTAAATATTAAGTAACAAAGAAACAAACAGCTAATTGAACTGATGTTTGATGCATTAGAATTTTTTTATAAATATTTATTTCGAAGTAGAAAAAGTAAGACTATAACAGCTACCAGGAAAAATATCAACTGTTAATTGTCGTTCTGGAATGGTAATTTGATAAGTAAATGGTGTACCTTGTTTGGTTACTCGAATTGTTAATAACAAGCCATTATAATTAACTTGTGCTTGAACAAAATCAAGTGAAGATGGAAGTTGTGGACAAATGTGTAATCCATCACTTTTAGCTGTAACACCGACAAAACCATGAAGAAATGCAACAACAGCAATACCTGATTCAGGAAAAGGAAAATTGCTTCCAATTTGTACAAAATCTTCACCAAAATCATCTAGATATCGACCTTTTTCATAATTAAAAGTTAAACAATAAGAATCATTATCCATACGTTCCAACATTTTCGTCAATATTTCAAAAGCTTCATCAGTATAATTAAAACGTAGACGAGCCATTATATCATAATAAGTTAACCATATCATTGTTCCACCACTTTCAACAAGACCACCATATGGTCTTCGCCCTTCATCAGGATCTGACCATCCATCCCAATCGGACTGAGCAACATTTTCCGTTGTAGTTCTTGCAGCTAAAACATTATGATAAACATCAGTACTACCATTATGTGGACCGATAAGAATAGGATCAGCTGGTTTTGATAACCAATTAAATATACGATCAGCTTTGGTTCGATTACCTAAACCACGTGCGAGTGCTTCAAGATTAATAAAAACATAACCACTATCATGTTGATTACCATTTCTATCCACCCAACCAACATATCTACCTGAACTTTCATTCCAAAATGTTGCATCAAAGATTTCACCATATTTATCTGCTAATGATTGATATTTTATTTCATTTTCTTTATTTCCAATAACACGTTCTAATTCTGCCATACTATGTAAAGCTGTATAAAATGTCATTGCTATCCATGCATCTTTCCATCCAGATTTAACTTGATCCATATATGTACTTGGACGACTTTTTTCTGGTGTTCCATCATTTATTATATTAATTGGTATTCCTAAAGATCCCTTCATTGTCAACAATAAATAATTCACGACACGTTGAAGTCGAGGAAAAATAGTTTGAATAAATGTATGATTACCAGACCAAGCATAATATTGATTAACAGCAATAGGAAATCGAGGTAATTGATCAAAATGATAAGAAGCGATAGATCCATGTGAACCACGTGCATCAGGCCATTGTTCTGAATCCATCCAAGACCAAATAAAACCATCAGACATATTACCTTTTGTATTATTTATTCCATTAATTGGAAATCGAAAAAGTGTTGCTTGAGCATGATCTCGATATCCATTTCGATTATTCCAACTAAATTTTAATGCATCCCATTCTGCCCAAGCTGGATTATCTCCAAAACCATTATCATTTGTATCTAATTTTTCTTCACAATTTCCATAAATTGACCAAAAAA